TCGTCTGCGCCATGCAGTGCGTGCCCTACATCACCTACACGGCGATCATCACGCTCTTCGGCGTCGAGATGGGCACGCCGACGACGCTCCTCCCGCTCGGCTTCGTCGTCACCGTCGACGCCATCTTCCAGGCGCTCGAGGACGCGACGCGGCACAACGCGGACTACGAGGCGAACAACTCGCCGACGCGCCTCGTGGACCCGACGTCGGGCGCCGTCGTCGACGCGCCCTGGCGCGACGTCCGCGTCGGCGACTCTCGCCGCCCAGGTCCGGAACCGCGAGGTCGCGCCCGCGGACCTCGTCGTGCTCGGCGTCGCGCAGACGGCGGGCGACGGCGAGTACACGGACGTCTGCTACGTCGAGACCAAGTCCCTCGACGGCGAGACGAACCTGAAGCAGCGGCGCGCGGTCAAGGAGGCGCGGGGCCGCGTCGCGCCGCGCGACGCCGCGGGCGGCGCCTTCGACTGCGGCGGCCTCGCGGGCGCCGTCGTCGAGATGGAGCACCCCAACGACGTCATCGCCAAGTTCGAGGGCACGATCGCGTTCGCGGCCGCCGGCGGCTCGCCGCCGGAGAAGGCGGCCGTGAACCTCGACTTTGTGTACATGCGGGGCACGACGGTGCGGAGCGTCGACTGGGTGCTCGGCGTCGCCGTGAACACGGGGCCGGACACGAAGATCATGAAGTCGAACAAGGACCCGCCGATGAAGGAGAGCAGCCTCATCCTCGCGATCAACCGCGTGCTCAAGTACATCATCGGCCTGCTGACGATGATCTGCCTCACGGGGGGGCTCTGCTCCTACCTCTGGATGAGCAGCAACGCGGGCGAGGACGCGTGGTACCTCGGCTACCCGCGCGCGGACGCGATCTGGGGCGCCGCGGACCGGCGGGCGTCGCAGGCGCGCGTCGTCAACCTCGAGGAGGCCTGGTTCATCAAGTTCTTCTACTACTTCCTGCTCATGGCCCAGTTCGTGCCCGTGAGCCTCTACGTGTCCATGTCGATGACGAAGAACTTCCAGGCGCGGTTCCTCGAGTGGGACCTGGGCATGTACCACGAGGCGAGCGACACGCCCTGCGCCGTCAAGTCCATGGCCCTCAACGAGGAGCTCGGCCAGATCTCCCACGTCTTCTCCGACAAGACGGGCACGCTGACGTGCAACGTCATGGACTTCCGCAAGTGCGCCGTCGGCGGGCGGTCCTACGGCGAGGGCATCACGGCCATCGGCGCCGCGTCCCTCGCGCGCCTCGGCGAGCCCATCCCCGCCGCGGCCCTCGAGGCCAACGAGCTCGCGCGCGCGTCGAGCCAGCCGCACGTCACGTTCCACGACCCGCGGCTCGCGGAGGACCTCGCGGCGCCGGGGCCCCAGCGGGACCGGCTCGTCGAGTTCTTCCGGCTCCTCGCCGTGTGCCACACGGTGCTCGTCGAGGACGTCGGCGACGAGGCCGACGCGCCGCCGGCCAAGGCCGCGCGGGGCCGGAGCCCGCCGCCGCCCGCGCCGACGGAGAGCGCGCGGAAGCGGACCTTCCTGGACCGCCTGAGCCCGGGCCTCGGCCGGCGCCTCAGCCGGTCCCTGGAGCCGCCGGCGCCCCCGGAGAAGCCCGGGCCCCGGGGCCCGCGGAAGACGCGCTTCTCCGCGTCGTCGCCCGACGACGAGGCGCTCGTCTGCGGCGCCAAGTACTTCGGCCTCTCCTTCGAGTCGCGGACGACGGGCCTCATGACGCTGCGCAACGCCGCCGTGCCCGGCGTCGTCGAGGAGGAGACCTACGAGGTCGTCGAGCTCCTCGACTTCAACTCGGACCGGAAGCGCATGTCCGTCATCTGCCGCCGCGTCGTCGGCGGCGAGCCCCGGGGCGTCGTCATCTACACCAAGGGCGCGGACACGGTCATGGAGTCGCGGCTCAGGGCCGGCCAGGAGGCCATGGTGAAGGCGACCTTCGAGGCCATGGTCGGCTTCAGCTCCGAGGGCCTGCGGACGCTCGTCTGCGGCCGCGCGGACCTGCCGGGCCCGGCGTTCGAGGCGTGGCTCACGCGGTACCGCGCCGCGACGTCGGACCTCGGCGAGATCCAGAAGCGGCAGAACTTCCTGCCCAACGCCATCGACGACCTCATGGACGAGGCGGAGACGGCGTTCGGCGACGGCCTCGAGCTCCTCGGCGCGACGGCCATCGAGGACCGGCTCCAGGACGGCGTGCCCGAGACGGTGCACAAGATGCTCGACGCGGGCATCAAGGTCTGGGTGCTCACGGGCGACAAGCAGGAGACGGCGATCAACATCGGCGTCGCGTGCCAGCTCATCGAGCCCACGGAGACCATGGAGCAGATCATCGTCCACGGCGGCCTCTACGCGGACCAGATGGCGCGCGCGGCCACGGGCGTGAAGCGCGCGTCGACGGCGGGCTTCTCCGCCTCCAAGCTCAAGGAGGAGGCGCGAAAGCACGCGGCGCAGCTCGCGCTCGCGGCCGCGCGGAACTCGCGTCTTCGACCCGACTCCCATGGGCGCGCATGCGACCGTTTCGACGCGAGGCTTCCCACCGCGCCTCGAGAACTCGACGAGAGCGATCGAGTCGTCCAAAAATCGGCCGAATCGACGTCGACGCGACCGAGCTCGAGCGTTCCGAAGTTCGGCGGGGGCCCCCCGAACCGGCGGTGGATGTCCACACAGGCTCGCGGCCGTCTTCGAGCGCGAGGCGCTGCGCCTCGCGCACGAGGTCGCGGCCTTCCGAAAGGACGGGACGCCCGTGAAGCCCCGCGCGCTCGTCATCGACGGCGAGAGCCTCATCTACGCGCTCGAGGCCGAGGAGCTCGAGGCGCTCGCGGCGGCGCCGCGCGGCGGCGGCGGCCCCGAGGCGCGCGCGGCGTCGATCTGCGACATCTCCCTGGGCCTGGGCTCCGGCGGGCGGCGCACGGCCGACGCCGCGGAGCCCGCCGGCGGCGCGCCCGGCGACACGCCGGCGCCGCCGGCGATCCCGCCGTGCCGCGCGGCGCTCCTCCAGCTCGCGCGGCACTGCAAGGCCGTCGTCGGCTGCCGCGTGAGCCCCATCCAGAAGCGCCAGATGGTCGAGCTCGTCCGCTTCGGCGGGCGCCACGCGAGCGACCCCGGCGCGGCCGCGGCGGCCGCGACGCGGACGCTCGCGATCGGCGACGGCGCGAACGACGTGCCCATGATCCAGGGCGCCCACGTCGGCGTCGGCATCAGCGGCCAGGAGGGCATGCAGGCCGTGAACAACAGCGACTACGCCATCGCCCAGTTCGCGTTCCTCCAGCGGCTCCTCCTCGTCCACGGCCGCTGGAACTACCGCCGCACGTCGAAGCTCGTCTGCCACATCTTCTACAAGAACGTGCTCCAGGCCATGCTCACGTTCTGGTACGCGTCGCTGAACCAGATGTCGGGCACGAAGAACGTCGTCGAGTACGCGGCGTCGACGGTCTTCGCGGCCTCCTCCCGCGCGGGACGAGCGCGACGCGCGCGCGACTCCAAAAGGCGCCGCCCTCGGCCGTCGTCCGCGCGTTTCGGCCGATGGCTCGACGAGCGAGCGTCCCTCGGCGCGGGGGGACGTTCGTTCCGGCGCGCGCGCGCGCGCGGCGCTCGCGTCGACGCGACGCCGCGCCGCCCGCGCAGGTCTTCTACACCGCGTGGCCCGTGATCCTGCTCGGCACGTTCGACCAGGACGTGTCCGCGGAGACGGCGCTCGCGAACCCGGCGCTCTACCGCGCGGGGCCCCGCGACGAGTTCTTCACGCGGCCCATCTTCGCGTCGTGGGTTGGAACACCGGGCGGGACACAAAGATATTCCACGCGACTTCATAGATGCGAGTTCGTGCACGGGTGTGTCCTCTCGTGTTCGCCGTCTCCAAAGAACCCGCCGAGAGACGACGATCCGTCCCAACATCGGCCGAACCGACGTCGACGCGACCGCGATCGAGGGGCGCGACGTGTTCGCCGGACGGGGCGTTCCACCGGCCGTCTCCGGCGCAGGTGTTCCAGGCCATCTGCGAGGCGTTCCTCGCCATCTACGTGCCCGCGCTCGCGCTCAACGCGTCGCTCCAGAGCGGCAACGCCGACGGCGGCGAGTGGGGGCTCTGGGAGATGGGCGCGACGGCGTTCACGGCGCGCGGCGGCGCCCCCGCGCGCGGCGCGACGCGGCCGCGGTGCGCGACGCGGCGCGCGCGCGCGGCGCCCAGGTCATCGTCGTCGTCGCGAACACGAAGCTCATGCTCAACCAGTACCGGTTCACGCGCCTCGACGCGCTCTGGTACTTCCTCTCCATCGGCCTCTGGTTCGCCGTCGCGACCGTCTACGGCCTCGTGAGCCCGGGCGCGTACGGCGGCTACCCCGAGTGGGAGTGGTACTACGTCTTCCCGCGGCTCCTGTCGCAGCCCATGTACTGGCTCTCGGCGGCGCTGGCCATCATCATCGTCTTCGCGCGCGACTTCGGGTGGAAGGCCTACGTCCACATGCGCGCGCCGTCGCGCCCCGCGCGGCAAAACGCCGCCGGTTCGGGGGGTCCCGACCGCGCGCGACGCCTCTCGGCCGACGTCGACGGGGCTCCCTCGGGGGACGCGTCGACGGCGCTCGCCGAGCGCGCTCGACGCGCGACGGACCGCCTCGCGTCGGAACGGTCGCGCGCGCTCCCGTCGACGACGTCGGGT